TCCTTAATCTGCACCGAAACAATGCGTATACCTTGATAATTTTATTAGAGAGTACCAACACAAACAAATACGTTTGAAACTATGTAGACTGTTAACTCTATTAGGTACAGTATGACAAGAAGTTTATACTAATTCAAAATCACACTGCTGCCTTGAAGGCTAATCAGAGGAGAAGGTTATTACAGGTGACCAGGGAGGGAGGAAAGGAGGCAGCACTTGATTCAAGTGATATTCATCGTTATCACTTTCGATCAGCTTATTTTACTTGCCCGTCTGTAGCCTTTACCCCAACTTACATACAAAATAACATATCCTTCTCTTTCACTCAGTTTCGCTGCTTTTAACTGTCATATTCATCACAGGCTACGACCAGTTGCCATGGCAAAATTGATATATAGGCACTTGCTCATTTATTAAAATCACTGGCCAGGATCCCTGAGATCAAAGATGAGCAGCTGCCTTTGCTGAAACATGAGACGGTGAAACAATCCAGCCTCAGCATCCTTCTCTCCTCAAACAAAGCAAACCCATCACTGACAGCCCTCCAGCCACAACACTCAACTCTTGGCTCAAAAGGGTTAGGTGTTTACAAGCATGCAAACATGATTATTGGTCAGCTCAGAGCTTACTTAACATCAATGTCTGTCAACTACAGGTGCATACAATTTAACTAAAGGGCATTATGTGTCCTTTGTGGTGTGAAGACTTTTTTTCCTCCATGGCTACACTGCACCAGTTTAACATTCAGTAAAGCAAACCAGTGACTGTGGCTTGGTGTTAGCGAGACATCACAACTAATTAACTGTATTATCGTAATGAGAAATCAAATCCTCCAAGAGCAATAAAAAGAAATGGAAAATATCCCTGCAATACGCTGTGACAGGTTGAACTCTCTTCTTACTAATTCAGTTTTATAGCCAGAAGAGTAATAAAATATCTCAGAGCCAAATATCTTCGTGTACCCTTTTCAATTTGACAGCACCAGACCAGTTATGCCTACTGCAAAAATTCTCAGCTGTTCTTGGAAATCATCAAGTAAACATTATTTAAAAGGGTCTGTGCTAAAATCAGGTATTGAAATAGGCTGCTGGTGACCTGAAACATCAGTGTTACTTCACCACGTCCTACAAATGCACCTCACATGGGCTACCAGGACATCAAGCTGACCACTGGCTCAAGGAGTGGGTTATCTGCCTTGGTTCAGAACAGACTGTTCACTGCTGCCTTCTGTGTAGAACTCCTCAGGTACCTTACATGCCTGTATTAAAATCTGAATGCCAAGAGCAAAAGCATCGAGACTGCAAGCATCCATTTTTTTCCAAGTGGTCTATGTACACACCAAGAATAAAATGCAGAATGACTGATGCCACTTAAAAGGCATTTTAGTTTTCTATGTTGCAGGTACAGAGCCAGGATTGAGAAACACTAACATGGCACAATCCTATAGAAAGAACATCAGAAGGAAAAAAAAGTCTGATACATGAGAAGTGCAATGACTGGTTCAATTACCAGAAAAAATATTCCTCAAATCTTAGATCCTAAGTGCTTTACAAACTGCCTTTTAAGCCACTGACAGAATATAGAAGTGGAGTACTTCACATCAAACCCACTGTTTTTTAAACACTAGATGAAAAATGCTATTAAAGGCATCAGTATTCTAACTACATTGCTTAGCAGCAAATCTTCTGATCATCCATTATGTATGGGAACTGTATCATCTCTATTTTTAGAGCACAAACCCCCTGGAGCATGGACTTGTTTTAGGTTTCTTTTGACTGGTGTATAGTACTGACCACATCATCACCACGCTGCAATCTCCGCTTCAGATTTCTAAAGTTTACAAGACAGGTACCCACTGAAGGTCAAAGATTCAACCTATAAGAAACATCAGTGTTGAAACCTTAAGGGACCCCAAAACTCAACTATGACTTCCTCAGAGTTGCCTGTTCATACAGTACAATTGAGGATTTCCCACAGATGCTTGGAATCCAATCATTACCATCACTAGCTCTCGATATCATTTGTTTCTTGACGTGTGGCCAAGCAGGGTCTTCCAACAGTAAAACACACTCTGAGGACAATGTATGAGAATACTCACTCCATACTCCCTTTGCTGCAGAAGTAAACCGAAACACCCAGGGGACCCACAGAGAGTTTTCTGACAAATCAAGTAAGTTCTACTTTAGCAGTCAGCCTCAAGGCTATGAACTAAGCCACCTACACTAAAGAGCAGACACAGGCCTTCAGGATGTAGACCGCCAGCTTCTCCTCATGGCTGTTTCTTTTTGGACGCTTGTTTGAAAAGTAATGCAGCTCCTCTACTAACTATGTCCACAGACCGACACCTAGGCTGTTCCACAGCACATACTCTCCTCTTGGCAAGGACCACCTTCACTTCCAGTGAACCCATGAAGTGCAATGATTATCTTTCAGGCACCCCAAAGCAGTTCTACTTCTTACCATACATATAGCACAACCCTTCAACTTCATTTTAGTATCACCTCTAATATCATAGTGAGAAGATCAGGTCCAGGCTAATAAGGTAAGCCCATCCAGACATATCACTCCTCAAGAGCAGACTCAGCTGGTGCTGAGTGTCTTTACACCAGGACAGAGCAGGGCCTTGCAGAGCTGAGCTGCAGCCAACCACAGCCAGGGGAGGCAGCTGCACACACAGCAGTGGGAAACTCCCCAGCACTGTGAGCATTCCACAGTAGCTACTGTGTGACACTGGGATTCTGAAAAAATATTTTTAGAAATCTAAAGCATGAAAGTGCAGATGAGTTTTAGCCCTGCTTATCATGCATGACTGCTTGGTCTGAACTTACCATTTCATCTTGCTGCCAGGAATTTTTAGTTTCAGCTGAAAACAGTGCAGTACTTGGAGTGAATGATATCAATGAAAAATGGGTTGGCTTATGTCATCATCAACATCATCTAATCTTAACCATTTCCTTAAGAAACTTCTATTACTTGTTTCATGTGTTAGCATCATCAAGGTTGGTGGAGATCTCTAAGATCATTGAGTCCAACCATTAACCTGTCACTCTGCTGGAACCCCTAAACCATATCCTCCAGCATCAGATACAGATGCCTCAACACTTCCAGGGATGGTGACTCCACCACCTCCCTGGGCAATATCCCAGTGCCTCAACACCCTCACAGAGAAAACATTTCTCCTAACATCTAATGTGACTCTGCCCTGGCTCAGCTTATGGCCATTCCCTCTAGTCCTCTCCCTGCAGCCCTGGCAGGAGAGATCATCATCCCCCACGTCTCTACAACCCCTGTCAGGGAGTTGTAGAGAGTCATGAGATCACCCCTGAACCTCTTCTCAAGGCTAAACAAATCCAATTCCCTCAGCTGTTCCTCATACAACATGTTTTTTTAACTGGGGTTTAATCTAGAAGAGAAGACCTTGTTTTTTTGGTCAAGATTAGCTTTTGGTTCTGCAGTAAAAGTCTGCCTAGATTTGCTGAGGATATGAGAACTTCCTAGTCACCTCTGCAGAGACACGTCGCTGTCTTTAGAGACAGTCTCGAAAGTTTTTTGCCTTTAAAAGATACATTCTACAAAAATTCTCCAGAAATATGGATGATCTGCTCCCCCATGGCATCAACACACCAAGCAACAGTGGTATCATGGAGCCATGGAAGGAAAGATATGGTTCATATGTTTTATTTGTTTTTCAGACTTCTGAGTCCTATTTGGAAATTATGTTAGACTAGTATGCCCAAGAAAAATTAGCTTCTTAGAATCCATTCATAAATGCTTCACCAGAAGCTGTCTATGACTTGAACTTGAGCTTCTTCTGGAAGCACTCTATGAAAATTGTATATACAATCTTCCTCACAGGACTCTGCTGTGCTCACTCTGTGAATAAATCAAGACCACGAAACAAAGAACACTATTTTGCATTTAGTATCCTTATCCATTAAAGGTATCCAGGAGAGCAGAAGTAATGGTATGGAGAATTACAGTTGAATACCAGCACTGAAAAGAGAAAATGGATCTTGACAATAGAATAGCCTTCCACAAAGCCCATCTTCGATGAACAACTCAAACATCAGACCTGCACAGACTGCCAGGCATCTTTTGTTCATGACCAATGTAAACTTAAAACCACACTAAGAGAAGGAAAAAACCAACAAAAAATGAGTCAAATACCTTTTCCAATACACCTCTGCAAGCTATTACTGAAGCTGACTGATGCCATTCCTCATTCACCTTGTCTTGCTCAAATGCATGTGTGAGAGAAAAGAAATGGATTGTGTCACCTCTTAAAAATTAAAAGAAAACAAAAACTCCTTCTTGTGACGCTCTTTGAGCTCTTGGGTACTTTGACAAACTGCTTACAAAACTCCCAACAAGGATAAGTCACTTGTCACAGGCACCTAGGCCAGGACTGGGAACCACACCTCCAAGGTTTACATCAATTATGGGCTAACTGCTCTGCTGTTAAAATCAAAGCAAGACTTCTGCTGAATTCTATCTAATTACTTCGGTCCTAAGGCTTTTCCTGCACCCAGCAGAGCCCCTAGTGAGTCAGCAACAGGTGTTTCAGTCCATTTCAGCCCCTCACACCTAATAAGGGTCAGAGAATCCACTGCTCCAGAAACACAAAGCTAGGATGTTTAAAAGGCAAGAGGGAACTATTATGTCCTCTCCCATCTCCCCTGCAAGAGTATAATATCAGAATTCTTTTACAGAAAACAGCACAGAATGAAGGGCAATATCCTGTCTAACCAGAGAAAGATGAACAGCTAGTATTCTCCTGGATTTCTGGTGTCCTTCACAGCCCACCTTGAAGGCCAAGTTTGAAATTCCAGCATCAAACACTCAAACTACAGTGGGCACCTTCTGTAAAGTGAAAATTACATGAGGGTTTTTCATCATGTTTGGGGTAAAATACATTAGTTTAATTCACCTTTGAAAGGATCTAGTAACTTTTTTATTC